CATCATCTTTAGATTTGATACTTGCATCCATAACATTACAATCTGGTATAATGTTCAAGTTAAAACAAAATTCCAATGCACAATGCACATCAGATAAAATTGGATCAAATTGCAAAACATTAAAATATGTTATACAAGGGAACAAAATTCCTGACATAAGCAAATAATCAATCAAGCTACCATTACCTTTATTACATGTGTTTCTACCAATATATGCGTCATTACCACATCTACCATTACCAATAAAGATATTTGTAGATTTACACAACTGAATAAGTCTCTGGCCATAATTATTACATTTGCTGTCACAAGAAAAACGTTCAACAGGGAAACCAAGCTCATCAAGGTTATTCATAACTATATGCTGCATGGTAATATCATCAAAATTTTCATTAATTACATATTTATCAAAGTCAACAAAATCACTCAAGGCACCAGTTCTTGCATTGAAATCACCAAAAATACAGAATAAACAGTTTGCAAATTTGATTTTCAAATCAATAATACAACTTTCTAAGCTATCAAATAATTCAAGAGAGCTATAATGAGAACCTTCAGGAGGAATATAAACATTCCCAAAGATGACATCAGAATCTTTGCATTTTAAAAATAAAAAATTCTCAGAGCTACAATCTAACACAGTTAACTTTGTGGACAAAGATTTCTTGATAAAAACTCCCACTCCCCCCGATTTATTACGGCATTTATCTCGAAATTTGTGAAAGAAAACATAGTCTTTCATACAAACAGTGTCATATGCATCTAATTTAGTTTCAGAAACAAAAAATATATCGTATTTTGCAACAAAATTAATGAAGTCTGGAATTACAAGTTTAGATCTAAGTCCACATACAATTATAGAACAACATTTTGTAATATTAGAAGTATTAGACATACAATATACATGATCATGTGAAATATCATCACAATTATTAAAAGAATTAAGCTTACTTAAATCACTAGAGTTAACAAGTGATGATTTTAATTGACTTGAGTAACTTGTACTCGAACAAGGTTGAATATTTATTAAACACTGATCTATATGACTAGAATTATCATTGTTCCACTGATTTTGATTCACTTGGCCCAAGTCGATGATTACATGTATAGTATGACGTGAACATCGATGATGTCATCTGCAATATAAATTATGACGTCACTTCATTTAGTTGGTGTTAAAACTATTCGCTATCTAATTTATTCGTAATTGAAATCGAAATAATTAATAAATAAATATCGCATCTTGATTCAAGACTTAATTAATTGTAGGGGTATGAGATTACATTGTAGAATTCACATGCTGATGAAAATGAGAATATAAGCAATTGAAAAAAGTCCGTTAAAATGGGCGGGGCTTATTTTTGATATCAGGTTACTGACCTGATATAAAAAATAATTATCAGGCAAGTGTTATCGGGCAGTTACCATAGCAGTTACATGATAAATATAGTTATCATTGCGATGAAACTTTCTTCAATATCAGTGAAGTTAATAATTTTGACATAAAAGTAACAAAACGCAATTATCTAGTTTTGTTAACAGTCTATAATGTAGGAAGCCATGTTATTTGTGCGCGTTTCCGTTCTCCACTGTATATACGGCGCACAGCTCGAGAATATTTTTTGTTTATATATTATCATTAATCAGCTTATGTTATAATAATAACAATAATCAATTCAGTTCGAAAAATTGTGACCTTTGATTTTCTGTATAATAGAAATTTTGATAGTGGGATTTTTTTAAAAATGTTATCGGTGGTTTCCCTTGGGACGGATATTCTGGTCCTTAGCGCGACATATGACAGATATTATTATTTTTGCATAGCAGACTGGCGTTTCCTTGAGTTTTACCGAAGCCGGAAATTTCATCTTGCATGTGGGTGCGAGATGAGTCGCCTGCCAAACAAAAAGGTCATTTCAGCGCACTTTATGAATAAACAGCGTTAAAATGACGTCGTTTTAGAAGGGAAATATCAATCTCCTACGCAGTGATCTCCCCTTACAGCAGGATTAGATCTCTGCCATCACAACATTTTCGTCAAGATTTTTGACGATATGAATTTTTTCAATTTTTATATTTATTTTAAAAAGTAAACACGGTTTTGCTAATGTTTCAAGACCATAATGTATTAGATGTAAACTAAAATAAAGAATAATTTCGAAAACTTAAATATTATCAATAGTATGAGAATTTTTTAAATAATGCACCGTTTCATTCCAAAATAATGGCCGCTTTTGAAAAAGATATTATTAAAGAAATTTATTTTTCATTATTTTGTATACTTTTGATATTTTTTGAGAAAATATAACGGACGTAGGTACTACAAAAAGTTAAAAATAAAACAGAAAGAGAAAAATGACGTTAGATTTTCTATGTAACGGTCGATATTTACTTTTGAATTTCGGCGTTACGTCATGTGACTTTCATCACCATGTGACGTCTGTCAAGGCAGTGATTACAATTCTGCCAAGGGAGGTTATCAGTGTGAGGAGTTTGGGGAAATATGTGCTTAGGGAGACGTCATTTCGCCCTTGATTTTTAAGTTGTAAGTTCATACGCTATTGTAAGAAAATATTTATAGATGAAATGACTTTAATTTCCATGAACATATATCATATTGAGGTAAACTATTTTAAATATAAAATAATATGGCAGAATATGCAGGAAAATATCTGACATATGCTTGCGGTTCGGACCGGAATATCCGTCCCGAGTGGACCTGCCAATTGGGCGGTACCGAGGCTTGACAGATATTATTAATCTATAAATGTGTAGAAAACGTAAAGATTATATCATTATGTCACTTTTCTATGACGACGTAAAATGCTTAAAAAATGTGCATGGTAGTTTTTCAGGGTTTTTTTCAGTTTTTTTTTTTATTTTTTGAAACACATATTTTGTTGATGAGGGAAAATAGCACCGAAAGATACAAAATGTATAATTTATAAAAAGAGGGAAGAAAACCCGTTTGCATCAATGATCGAAGCGGTCGTATATCTCGTGTCATTGGCAGTTGAACTTGTCTAATTCGTGCTTTAGTACAAGTTTTATTGCATTAAATACATGTTTACAAACATATTATACAAATAATGAGTATATATCAAAATGCAAATGGGTTGGAGACAAGTTATAACAACATAAGATTAAGCTTCCCTTTCTGCTTGATGCAGAATGGTGCTGCGCTATACGAAATTTGCACGAAAGTTATTTGGGAACGGTATTGCTCTCGTAATAAGTGCTACATGATACCATATCTTATCGTATCGTTAAAATATTTAATTCTTTAGAAATGACAAATATGTGCATTTCTAAGGCCTAATATGCCTTTAAAAGGAAGGTTAGACGTAGGGCTGGTCATAGACTGAGTCTATTTTATTTGCGTCATGTATGATAAATGTACTCATGTACTTATGTGGTACCTTTCAAGTGTAACAAGCCTAGAATACACCAAATTGATGAATGGTAAAAGGACTATATAATATCAGCTTTTTAGCTCTGTGTTTCAAGGATCTACTGGACTCCCATAAACAGAGATATGATTCTAAAAATGGTAGATCTTAACTTCAAATAGTATTATTCTGTGTTGCTATGTCGTGTGTACTGATGTATTTTGTCTTTGTACATGTACATTGTATTACATGTATAGTGTACAAAACTAGAAGATTTAATAATACGACATTTTGTCGGGTTTAGTAATTTATGACTTTGATGTTGGTTATCATGTTTCTTTTAAGCTTTATCTGTGACATACTTAAAATATTGATTTAGCTAGGCAGGACTAAACATAAGCTTTTAGTGCTCAGTGCATGCGGTTCGTTTAAAAGAAAAACAACAACTCAAGCTCGAAATTCGGCTTTTGAAAAGTTTGAATTTCGATCTTCAAGCTGGCTTGAAATTCAACTCCAAATCGACATTCGGCTTTTAAAAATTTTATTTTCGATCTTCGAGCTGGCTCAAAATTCAACTCCAGCTCGAAATTCGGGTTGTGAAAATTTTGAATTTCGATCTTCGAGCTGGCTCGAAATTCAACTCCAGCTCGAATTCGGGTTTTGAAAATTTTGAATTTCGATTTTCGAGCTGGCTCGAAATTCAACTCCAGCTCGAATTCGGGTTTGGATAATTTTAAATTTCGATCTTCGAGCTGGCTCGAAATCCAACTCCATCTTGAAATTCGGGTTTTGAAAATTTTGAATTTCGATCTTCGAGCTGGCTTGAAATTCAACTCCAGCTCGTAATTCGGGTTCTTGAAAATTTTGAATTTCGATCTTCGAGCTGGCTTGAAATTCAACTCCAGCTCGTAATTCGGGTTCTTGAAAATTTTGAATTTCGATCTTCGAGCTGGCTCGAAATTCAACTCCAGCTCGAAATTCGGGTTTTAATAAATTTTGAATTTCGATCTTCAAGCTTGCTAAAAATTCAACTCAAGCTCGAATTTCGGCTTTTGAAAGTTTTGAATTTCGATCTTCGAGCTGGTTCGAAATTCAACTCCAGCTCGAAATTCGGGTTTTGAAAATTTTGAAATTCGATCTTCCAGCTGGCTCGAAATTTAACTCCAGCTCGAAATTCGGGTTCTTGAACATTTTGAATTCCGATCTTCGAGCTGGCTCGAAATTCAACTCCAGCTCGAAATTCAGCTCTAGTTTACTTTGAATTCGATCTTCGAGCTAGCTAGAAGTTCAAAGATAGCTAGATATTCACTATAAAGTGAGTTTCGATGTCAGTGCTAACTTCTCGATACTAAAAGGAATACCTGTACTTTGGACATTGTTGTATTAGATGAAAAAGCGCACTACACTTTAGATTTTTTAGAATATCAAATCATATACATGTAAAAATTTCTAAACAAAAAAAAAATTTCTGTACTAAAATTTGAACAATAAAAGATAAAAATGCTTTTACACCCGGAGCTGCAAATATCGTGCAACATCGTTGAAGTTTGACGTGATAAATCGTGATGCAGACAATACAAATACATATACCATATGTTTATGAGATCTTACCCATCACACCTATCGGAAACCAACACAGGAAATCAGTTGTTGCAACGAGTATAAGATTTCTTGCAACTCTCAAGTCACGTTTCCTTGTAATTTGTGTTTTCTTTATAACTGATGTTGATCGTCGAAGTTCTGTGAATATTGAGATTTGTCCTACAGCAACAAGAATGAAAGTACAAAAATTCAGGCCGACAAAGATTGACACAGAATAAATCCAACCTGGTGGTTTATCTCGTGTTAAAGGCAATGCAATACAAACTCCTGTTTTAGAGTAGAATTTGTTTTGGAAGTGACTTGTGTAAAGAATTGGAATGACCGATAGGATGATGGAGATGAACCAGCACAATGCACAAGAGACATAGGCCTTCATAGGTGTAAACCTCACAGTTCCAAACGGAAACTTGATCACTAAAAGTCTATCTAATGTTATCAAGCAAAGAAAGAGGACGCTGGCTTCAGATGAAATTGTAGACAAAACTCCGGCAGTAATACACCAATTACTGCTTCTCCATTGAAAGTCCACAAGATAATATCTGCAAATAAATGGGAATAAAATATTTGAATTTCAGAAGATAAAAAAAACGCATTTAAATCGTGTATTAAAAAAATCAACATCTATTAGACTTATTAACTGATTTTATTCTTATATCATTACCTCTTTCCTTTGGCATGTTAAGGTAGTCGAAACATGTTTTATTAAGGAATAAAATGGAGAATTAATAATCTTAAACGTCTTAAAACTCTTCATTGAAAATATATATACTTCAAATTATATGTTAACAATTTTGCTTTTATATGTACTCGTTTGTATGATAGAAAGCATAACAAGATATTGTTATGAATAAAATATAAAGAAATATTTAGCTTCAGTCGTAAAATTTATACAGCTACAACTATGAAGGAACAGTGTACAATATATTCTTCCGGTAGAGTTAATTGTGTATTTGTAGTAATTGCATATAAATTAAAAAGGATAACTGCTTAATGCAACATGGCACGGTAGTTTTGTTATATTAACATCATTTAGGACTAAAAATATGTTGTTTATAAGAGAAAATTAATTTGATTTATATTTTGCATATAATCAGTTAAAATGTTATTTCTGTTTCTGAACAGTAAACAGTCAGTATGTGAAGGATCTGTCGCCGGCTGCCGGTCGAACCAGAATATTTAGCTCGAGGATAACTGTTTACGGCGGAAAAGAAGCTCTGTCAAGTATCCGACAAACAATTACCAGAGAGCTAAATATTCCAGTTTACAACGACAGACACAGTGTTTGATTCTTTTTTCTTCCATATTACAAATTTATGATATTTCGAAAAAAGATAACGAAAACTGATATTTTCAATTAGGCATTTTCTTGAAGTACATGTAGTTCATTCATAAAGGCACAAGTACGTCATGCTAAGAAAGCAAATCATTCGTAAAAAGTTTGTAGGTATAACATAATTTCAAGAAAACTGATATTTTCATTTAGCACTTTTTTCTTGAAGTAGCGTATGAATTTACAAGGTCATTCATTATGGCACAAGTACGTTATGCTTAGAAAGCAAATCATTCATAAACGTGTGTAGGTATAACATAATTGTGGTGAAAGACAGTTTTTTCCAGCACCTGATAATCACGTCTGATATGCAAGAATGATAAATCAGTATTTGTTACATAAAAAGTGAAACTGTTATCAATCAGTACCTGTTTTTTGTATAGTAAATCAGCCATTTATCAATACCTGTTTCTATAGAGTGAATCTGCCACTGCTATCATGATGAGGTAAACACCCATCAGAAAATCTGCAACTGCAAGGTTAGTTACAAATATGCCATAACCTATTTTTAGCCTTTCACGATCGTACAAGAGACGGTAGATAATTGACGATAGGTTTCCGAACAATGAAGCTAACCCAACTATCCAAAGGACTGCTTGAAGTACCGAGTTTCTCATCAGGTCTTCACATGAAGAAAACTCATTCTTTGGTTCGCAGTATTCTGCAGGAAGATAACAAGGTCGGATACAGCAGAATCTAAATGCAGGTGTATGAAGTTCACGAAGTGATGTGATGCCGTTAAATATAAAATTTCCGGATTTTTTCACTTCATTGCCTTCAAAGTTAATTTTATGAACACGCGAGTTGTTGAAGGCAAAATCTTCAATTTCCTCAATTCTGTTGTATGAAATGTCGATACTGTCCAAGTGCAAGTCAGAGAATGTAAGTGAACTTATCTTTTTCAGGTTTGTGCCGGTGATTTTTAAGCTTCTTACAGATGTCAAACCCTTAAAAGCAGTCGATGAAATCATTGTTAATTCTATATTTCTGTCCAGATTCAAGTAGGACAGATAGCGAAGTTTGCTAAATACCATATCAGGTAATCGCGCTATTCTATTGTTGCTAAGATCTAACGATAACAAATTTTTCAAGTCAAAGAAAGCCCTTTCGTCAATATAATGAATATTACATGATGAAATATTAAGTCTTAGCATGTAAGGAAAATTTAATTTTCCTTCAGGTATTTCTCTAATTTTTGGATTTTTACTTAGATCAAGACTTATAGCCTGTACAGTCAATGACAAAATATCAGACATCGATAAGTTGGCTGCATTACAATTGATTACACCACCCGTACAATTACATTGCGTCGGACATACAGAATCACAAAGTCGCTCATCATCACCATTTTTGCAATGAATGACATCATCACATACTTGTTCAAATGGTATACATTGCTTACTAGACGAACATCTGTACTTTCCAGCACATGGTACGATTGTAGCCTCTGAAACGGAAATATCAAGAAAATATATCTTACCACATACTTTCTAAAAGAAATCGTGATCAAAGATATATTATCGCTGTTGACATGGTTATATCCTGGTTTTCTTGGTTTTCTTTAGTTGTCAAATTTATGATACTTTTGCCAGCATCCAACATGCAAGCATAGAGATAATTACTTATGCAAATGTATAGTAACTTTTCAAGTTGATTTGAAAGTTAAAAAAAAACGAAAAACATATTCAAACAGGGAAAAAACAAAAATAAATTTGATCAATAAAAATGATTAAAAAACCGATGTTATCATGTAAACGAACATAAGATAGCGAATCGTCTAGACAAAATAAAATATGACATAGAAAAGGAATTGTTGTCAAGTCATAAATGTTCATTTGGTATTATATTTAAAATCAACGAGAGTGAAAAAAAACACCTTTCAAAACTAAAACTGTGTCATATATTTACGAGTAAAGCCGACAATGCTGTTACCTGTACATATTTCTGGAAATCGTCTAAAACCAATCGAAAATAGAGAACTCCATTTACTTATATGTATATCCTTTACAAATTTGTATCTGTTATCTTTATAAAGTGAAGAACTGAAATCTTTTATCACCCGATATATTGAAAACGATGGCTCTGAAATATTGGACAATACTAAGCTAGCGACAACTGATGATTCAATACTGTTTTCTAGTACAATAAGCGCTCTTTTTTCTAGCTCGGAAAACTTCAGTTGTTTAAGAAAGTCTCTTGCCATTGTTTTAAACTTGCATCCAGTTTCCTCTATTCCCTGTTCTCTGGTAACACGTTCTACCTTTATTTCCAATAACCTGTACTCAATGTCAAACTTCATTTTTCTATGAAGAATATTGAAATTAAACAATTTAACGATGTTATTCTCATTGTTTGTAAAGAATTGTTTAGCTAAATGCATTGCTGCTTCCCTGCTCTCAGAGCCACCATCTTCCACGAATATTATTACTTCTCTATCCGAGTCTATACAAGCTGAAATAAGAAATCAAATGAAAACACTAAATGCCAATAATTTGTTTGAGTCATAAAAAGGCATTTTTTGTAAATCTTGACTAAACAGTTATTTTCCCTCAGCTATTAACCCTGTAAATGTATTATCAATAATGTTTTTATTTGACGACAACATCATAACGAAAACCTTAAGTAAGTAAATATAAACCTGAATTAAATAATTTGCTGAATTTGTTTGATACTGTGTACGACCATATTGACTAAAGACGAATCAGATTTATTGTTTTTAACATTTTCAATTTTGCCGTGTTGGGCTTTCTTTAGGGATTCTTATTTCTCTCTTTTTTATCGCCACATCAGCGTTGTTTGTGCCGTGTGGAGGCTGTAAAAAGTCGCCCAGTACCTTCAATCAGGGATGTTATATTTCCGATCCTTAAAGATCGTTCAGCACTGCATTATTGTTGTGCTTGTGGTATTTAAGTTCTTTCTATTCGGCATCTTTCTTGTTGGGTGGTTCCAGTATTCTTCAATTGAATACTGTTGAATCACCCTTAGGATATGTGGTCTGCTATTTAAATTTGTCTTTTGACGTCCTATCTGTGATATGCAGGCTTCATAACCTCAGATCCCCTTTCAAAATTCCATTTTATTTAGTTCAGCCCATTGTTTTCTCGTTTAGGGCACATGCATTTTATTACTTGGGGGACCATATGCCGCTTTTCATGGAATGGCAGTAACGTGTCACATGGAAGGTTCCATGATAACCGCCATACGAACACATCTGCGGATGTTTCAAAATTCTCAATATTACCATTTCATGTTAAATGTTGAATTCTGCTTAAGCCGGTGCTAGGGGGCTTGGACGGTAGTTTGCACTTGACAGTACCGTCCATGAACAGGCTCAATCAAACCGAGCTTGCAACATTTTCAATTTTGCCGTGTTGGGCTTTCTTTAGGGATTCTTATTTCTCTCTATTTTACAATAAGTATAAATATCTAAGCTACAACTTGTCGATTGATGAACAATGTTCAAATATATTTTAGTATAAAATCACCGGCCTCAATATCTAATTTAACTCCAATATCAACTCGTAGGCAGCCTGTTTTCGTAGGAAATTCGAGTCAACATATGATTTCATGTAACAGAAATAAAAGACAAAAATAAACCCTTAAGAATGTCACATTTGATATGCATATAGGTTACAATAATACAAATTAAAGATCACATACTCTATTTACTTTCATAATGAAATTGAAATTGACATAAAGTTACGAAAACTCGGGTCAGCTGAGACGACCAGGTCGCACAATCAATGAGGACCATACTATTTCTTAAACTTCCTAAGGCCAACTATTTATAACAGTACCATTAACATGACCATTTCAAAAAATTATATAAATTATGTTTATTATGTAAATTAAAAATTATGATTATTCTTCAAAACATGTTTTAATTTTTTTTTATAATTCTGTACATACACAAAGTCCAAGCTCACCATAAATAGTCCGATCTACAGTTTGTTGTCGGACTTATAACATTTGCTGTGCTCAAAATCTGGAGCTTTATGGAGACATAAAATGTCAGGATCATAATTTAACATTGGTAATACCATAGCATCAAACAAGTTGATCCATCTAGAAATATCCATTGGTACTTTATCAAACAGGGTATTTGATAATTACAGCGCTTTGTCTAACTGCTTTGATTAGGCTTTCTGTTTTTCTCACTCAATTAGGAGGAAGCCTAGGCCTCCACAATCTGACTAAAGGATCTGACTGAGAAGAACTAGTTAAATTTGGACGATTTCCCTTATTATTTACAAGAAAATGTAGTGTAATAAAGTACTTGTACAGAATTATGAAATATCATAAATCATAAATTGTGTTTTAAATAAACTGGTGTTTTTAAAGGATTCCAATAATATATTTTTAAAAGTAGGTCATTATTTGTGTAATATTTAAGATTTTTGTATTCATGGATAAAAGGCCCATAATGCCTCAAACATGCTTTTATTTTCAAAGGTTTCTAATTGGCGGTGTTCGGTTATATTTTTGAAAAGGTTCTGATTTGCCGATTACGTGATCCATATTTTTCTTCTGATGCAATGGGTACAAATACTTATAGTGATTTAGTATTTTGTATTGAAGTCAAAATACTACTTTGTTTACATTTTGATTCTTTTACGAATAATAATTTCATCACATACTTATGGCAACATGTTCCCAAACAATTAAATAATCGTTAACAATTCATATTTGCTCTTTAAGATATATATATATTCGTTTCTGAGGCATAATGTACCTTTAATGTTGATAATACCAATGTTCATGTAAATCCTTTCAAACAACAACTACTTTGTTCTGAATATTTTCTTAATAAGGGATAAACTATTTAGTTTTACAATACAAAGTACTTATCTGTAATATCAAAGGAGTCAAAATCTGAATATGGAAGTAAAATTATTAAAGAAAATAATTTAAGTTGCGTTCATATGGTCATGTACAAGGTTATGATGCTGCTTGAATTAATCACCTATTTAAAATGGTAGATTTAGGTAGATTTTGGATGAAACAAACGCTGATGTACCACATGAAAAATTAGACAAGTTAAAATCGAGTGTTCTCATATATGTATATTTCTAATAATGACATAAGGAAAATATGCTTGAATATATAAGATATATGCATATACTTCCAATTTTCCAACATAAATTCCATAGTTATCTGGCAAAATTTGTATTGTCAACAATGCAATAAAATTGAATGTTGGTATTTTTGTTTAAATAAAATATGTTTCAGAAATTTGTATAATATTATCAATTTTAGCACACACTCTCTGCAACGTATACTGTACCACAATATTGTTTTGCGATTCAAATACAGGTAAATGTATATATGTGCAAATAATTTGTTTGGCTTGATTTATTTTTATATCCATATGTGTTTAAATACATTGTACATAAACATTTTTTACTAACAGTTATCCCTAGATAAAGTGTTGAAATATAACAACAACGTTTATGAAAAATTTCTAAATGTAAAAAATATATTTTGCTAGTTTAACTTGTTACAGCACTGTTTTTAATTTCAAAATACACAGCCTATACGGTTCAGGAGAATAAAAAAGCCATGTAATGAAAACGATATTCCACTAATGAAGTATCAAATTTATAGGACGTTATTTGCGTTGTATAAAAAATATAGCGTAAGTATGCGTAACATTATAGGTGCGTCCATAAAAATGACAGAGTGTAACTGTACACCATTCTAATTTTGACTACGTGATAAATAGAATATCAAATTCAATATCGTGTATGTATTCATTTTATTCATTTATCATTGATATCAATACACTTATTCAAGTTCCTCTATTTAAAGATACAAACATATACGAAAATAAATCTAAACGAAGTTATTCATATCATTGCCCAACATTAAATCAATGTTTTGTTTGTAGGTATGCCAAAGACCTGTAATATGACAATGACAATAATGACTTTAGATCTCATTTAGAATTAAACATTGCACAAATGTTTATAGCAACAAATGATAAAAAAAAATTCAAATAAGTCCTCTTTCTTCCTTAACATTAATAAACGAAATGCATTTTAGTAAGCATTTAAGTGTTTCTGGTACACAAACAAGTGTTGAATACAGTAACAGATTGTATGAGACTAATGAACTCTTTTTCTCTTTTGGTTGGTATGTATTTTGCCAATGAAGTGCATATTAAGTAAGCATTGAAGTATTTTTAGTACAAGTAAAAAAAATAATTGAATACAATAATAATTTTTATATATGTAAGATATATGTATATGTAGGTATGACAATTGGCTTAACTGTAGGTGGACAATGGGCTAATCTGTAGGTGTGACAATAAATTGATAAGGTATATCAACTGGTTATCTGTAGATCTAACAATGGGATAATTTGTATGTATGCCAATGGGCTAATCTGAAGTTTGTCAATGAGATTGTATTTATGAATGATAAGGGGTTAATATGAAGGTTTAAAAACTGGCTATTCTGTATGTATAACGATGGATTATTCTGCATGTATGACAATGGGATAATCTGCATGTATGACTATGGGCTAATCTATAGATGTTTCTGTAATATTCAACAAAATAAATCTTAAGGGTGAGTCCGGCAAGTCATTATAAGCGACATTTTAACTGATAAAATGCATAAATAATCACTAAATGATTGTCCTTTAATTAACAAAATACAATACACTACTACTGGAATACCGTTAAATGACAAAACTAAACACAACAACATCAAAACCAAAGAATCAGTTTAACACATTATATATTTTAATAACTTACTACAGTCTTGTTCATCTTCTCCTCCAGGGCATTCATTATGGCCGTCACAAAGAAATCGTTGTTCAATACAATAACTTCCAGGACATTTGACAGTATTTGCTGGACAAGTGAAATTCTCTGAAAATCAAATTGTTTTCAATGACTCGGGCAATATTGAGCAATTTATTTTGAATAATTATCATTTTCTAAAGTGGTGAATGATTGAACAGTATTTGTGATGGCATTCTGTTTTTCTGTGTTCAACTAGAATATTTAAACAACAAAGAATTTAAGAAAGACATGTTACATTTATGTTAATTGTTCAGTAGCGCCTTATGTTTAACATTATTATTCAGGTTATTTTCAATGATTGATTCATAAAATACCCTTGCTTTGAATCAAAACAGAATCGTTGTTCAATTTTCTGTATTAGATTGCGGAAATATTTATCTTAACTTAATGCACAGCACAGCACAGCACATACGTTTTATTTAGACTTGTACATAGTACATCGTCATGCATATAGATAAATAAAACAATTATCACGTCACGTGATCATGGTAACACAAAGTACAGAACAATATGATACTTAGAATATATAATAGAATGTACATTGTTATGAGTAATAAGTAAATATTTTCTCAATCATAGCAGTAATAGAAATTCTAATGGCAACCTCACAGGATATTGTATACCATATTTTACCCAGTGAGTCTAACCATCCCACTGAAAGTAAAACTCCCTCCCGATAAAGGCAAGGATAGATGTTAACCAGCAGCAAAACTAAATACTTATTGAGCAGTTTCTTTCTAGATAGAGAACAGTATCATTAAAAGTTATACATGTTAACACACAAATATCATATGATAATGTATCAAATAAGAGAAAATACCTTTATTATTTAAGAACAATGCATGATTACACAAACAAACATGATGTTATAATATATGAGAATTGTAAAAAAAAAATATATATTTTCCAAGAGGATGTTAAAAAATCAAATATTTAAGAGAGTATTTCTGATTGCCAAACTTTCTTTAATGTATCTTGCTAAATTCATCAATAAAAGCTTGTTTGAAGTTTGCAATAACTGAATAAATTTGAACATCGATGGTCTAACATAAAAATATTTTTTATATATGTCTTACGAATATTATTATAACAAGGACAAACCAGAACAAAATGATATTCATCTTCGATATCAAGGGTATTACAGCACTGACAATATCTCTCGTTTCGTGGTAATCTATGTCTACTATATCTACCAGTTTGTATTCTGAGAGAATGGGCTGAAAATCTTATTTTGGAATTATACATTCTTAAACTACGTGGTAAAAGGTCGAGGTAAATTTCATACGATATATTAGTTTTGCAATTTTTATATAGATCTAAAACATTATTATTTTCAATATTACCATGCCAATCTTGTACATAATTATCAATAAGTCTTTGTTTAAATATTCTAGAAATAATTTACCATCAACATTATCACTATATATAAAACAATCAGCAAAGCCAAATGTATACAATAACCGTTTAACATTTGAGACCCAGTTATTATATCCATGTTCACAATCAATAACACTTTGTTCATAAACTTTTTTTCATAATTATATTATCAGTTTGGATTGTTTTACACCAAAACTTGATTACTTTAACAAAACGAGCAATATATAATGGCCATCTTCCTAATTCACCGTAAACCCCTGCATTACATGTACTTGTTCTGACATTTAGAACATTTTTGCAAAATTTAAGGTGGATACGTTCAATTTCTTTAGATTTAGAATGTCCCAATACTTCAGCAGAGTAATTTAAGATAGAACCAACAAATGAATCTAACAGTTGGCATTTGAGTTTAGGTTTTATATCATATTTTTTACAATTATATAGTAAAACATTGAATGCCTTAAGGCCTTTGCCAATTAAGTGTTCCTGGTTTTAAGCAAAGTTGCCTGTATAATTGAAAATAGAACCCAGGTAGTTAAAATTATCAACTGTTTCTAATTGTTGCCCATTGTAGTACCATGTTTCATTTGCACGTACCCTACCTCTTTTCCTAAAAACCATAACCTTAGTTTTTAACGTATTAACTTCTAGTCCCCAACAGTTGCAGTAATTATATAGATTATCTAAACTTGTCTGGAGATCTTCTGGTGTTTTACCTAGTATTGCAATATCGTCAGCAAATAACAACAACAATATAACTATATCATCAATTTGTAAACCTACATTGATATCATTTTGAAGATATAATTCTAGGTCTTCAACAAATAATGAAAACATCAGAGGTGAAATTACCTCCCCTTGTCTTAGACCCACTGCATACATGAAGAAATCGGA